CACTTGCCTGGCAAGCACAAGGGCCTGAGTTCAATCCCTGGTTCCACAAAAATAAATAAATAAATAAATAAATAAATAAATAAAATTTTAAAAAGCAGAAAAGGTTATAGTGAGTTGCCCAGGCTGGCCTCGACTTTGAGATCCTCCTGCCTCAGTCCCTCGTGCGGCTTAGACTGCAGGTGTGAGCCACTATGCTCAGTGAAACAACCCAATTTTAATACCCTTTATCTTAATCACAACTTTTCACTGGCTAATTAGAGTGAAAGGATCTAAATTCAAGGTTTGAATTAGCACCATGAAAGCCCTGAGCAAACTCATGAACTCCGCAGGGACTCTGCATCTTCTTCAGCTCCGTGGGTCGCTGCCCATACCACCTCTCCTCGAGAAACGCTTGGTGGCTGCGAGGCGTGGGACACGGCAGGCCCAAGGTGAGCCTGGACCACTGTCACACACGGCACAGCAGAGGGAATCGAAAAGGATGTGCCCGGCCGGGGGCCATCAGCTGTGACAGCACCTTACGACATCTCGAAGAACCACAGTGGCCTCCACCAGACTGAAAGCAAGCCAAGCAGTTTTAAAACTATGGCTTCAGGATGATCATTAAATGTCACCTTTCCAGTGCTGCCACAAAATGAGCCAATTGATTCGAAGATCTGTAATCAATGGGAACAGAAATAAAGCATCTATCGTATCTCTCCTCACCCAAATGTACCCATGTAACCTGGCACTGAGCAGGGGGTACTTCTCTTAGACGTTCCTGCCAGAAAATAAGTAACGAGTGGCCAGAGGCAGAATGCAATTACTTCGCAGTCTCCAAAGACAAACAGCTTGGTAAGCATTAAAGACCACTCACCCCACTGAGGAAAAGACAACCAAGTATTAGGTGCCCCTTATGAAGTGCGTCACAATGATAAAACAGACTACAAAAAACAAAAGCAACATACAAGCCCAAATCTCAGTGTGCCTCTGGATCTACTGAGCCTGCCCCGCCAACCAGGGCGAGAGGCGAAGCCAGCTATGACCGCAGACACTCACCACACTGGAGCTGCAGCAAAACTCTGAGCAAATACTGAGCCAGTTTCTCCTACAAAAAACTAACAAAGGGGAGAGGAAAAGGGGACAGACTGGGGCTGAAGGGAAACCAAAATACTAAAGGACAGTGGAGACTTATCAATGAACTGCAAAGTGAAGCCCTTATTTGCTCAACAAAATGTACTGAAAAAATTTATTTGGAAACGAGGGAAATCTGCATACTGTGTACCTGACCTGACATGCTGTTACTAGTGCTTTAGACATGCGAGGCGTATTGCCCGTGGGTCTGAAGCGGCCTCATCCTCCCGAATGTCTCATGCAGCCCATGAGGGCTGGTTTCAGGTAGGGCACCGGTGGGCACAGGTGGACCCATGAGTGGCAGGCGGAGCACAGTGTGCCCGTGCACGACCTGAGGGCCCCGGCAAGGCCAGCACTGTGGCAAGCATGGGGCACACAGTTCCCACATACTTTTTCTCTATTTGAAATTTTCCATGCTAAAAAGCCAAAAATAAAATTAAAGGTTTGGAAAAAATGACCTGGAAGATTCTTCCTATTTCCTAGAACCTATGATAACAACCCAAGTAAACCCAAAAGATCACTGACTAATCCCCACTTGAAACATTGCAATTTTAATCATTAAAAATCTCTCTTTAGGGCTGGAGAGATAGCTCAGAAGACTAAACACCTGCTTAGGCAAGCATAAGGACCTGGGTTCAATCCCCGGTACCACATGCAGCACCAGACCCAGAACCCCAGGTGTGCTGTGCCGGCCACCAAAACCAAGTGTGGTGGTGCATGCCTGTAATTCCAGCACTGGAGAGGCTGAGACAAGAGGATCACAAGTCTGAGCTGCGTAGTGAGACCCTGTACCAAATAAATAAATTAATTAAAAGAAAATAATATAAATAAAAAGGAAGTATTATGCATAAATTATACTCTTCATCAATAGTGGTATGAAAAAATACTATTTTTCCCTACACATCCATGTTCCAAGTGCCTTCTGCACCACAGCTACCAAGATTTTTTTTTTTTTTTTTGGGCTGAACCAGGGATTGAACTCAGGCCCTTGTGCTTGCCAGGCAAGCACTTATTCTACTGAGCCATCTCCCTAGCTACTATAACTAAAGCAGGGACTGAAGGACTATACCAGAATGCAAAGCCCACCCCAAGGACAACTGCCACGGCACTTGTGGGTCAGCACACAGGAAGGTACGAAAGTGATTTTTAAGCTTTCAGGGAAGAGGCAAGGCTCACGACAGGTGGACAAAATCCAGTAAGCTGAAGCTTGAACCTTACAGGTGACATACTACAACACACAGAAACATACAAAAACCTGGAAATAAGTACATGTGAAATAGCACAAGGATGAGAACAAGCACATGATCAAGAGAGCCCACGGCTGCTTTCAGAAAGAAACAAATGCATGACCTGGAGGATTTTAAGGCCACACAAGTGGACAAGGTAAAATGAGAGGCTGTAGATTCAGTGATTTGCATCTCCCGGGCACTGCGTTAGGGGCCCTTCACTCAACTGCTCATCCTTAAGAGTGCAGTCGCCAACCGTGAATGCAGGGGTCGCTGGGAGAGCAGCTGAGGAGCCAGGCCACAGCTCCTGCTGATCCCCATGCGGACATACGCAGCCACACGTGGGCGCACCTCCAGATGTGTCCCCACAGGTGCTCAGAAGCCAGCATGGCCAGGTCCTGCTCACCGCTGGGAAGCGGGCATATTTAAATACAACACAGGCATCTTCTATTTATTTATTTATTTATTAAATTGAGAAATAAATATGAATGAGACAGTTTCACAGCTGATTAATAGGACAGTTTTGATAATCAATACATTGTACATTGTTATCTTCTTAGTGGTTATCCATACTACAAGAAGCAGACAGGATTTCCTGTCCAAACACTATTAGTACACCTCTTTCTTCTCATTGAGTTAAGCGAACGCAGCTGTATATTTATCCTAACTATTTTGTATATATAAATACAAAATGATCTTTCCTTTGTATCCCTTTTTTTGTCCTGTCAGAGGTGGGTATTCTATTGGCATCTAAATACTAAGGTGTTTGAATTCAGCTAAACAATCCAACACTGTCTAGCAGTCTATAATATTAGTGGGTCATCCTCAGAAGTTACTGACTCGAGCCTTGTACAGCTCATCGTATTAATATGGATTTACTTTATATACCTCGTTTTTATACTTTTCTGCTGGATGGTTAAGACCAAGATAAAACAAGACCTATGTAACAAGAAATGTAACTTTTGTATCTGATAAGGTGAGTCAAGTATGCCCAGGATTTATCCTGTAGCCTTGTACCACACCTTGTAGATCCTTTGTCAGTGTCAGCCATGAGGACTGTCATTGCTTGACCAATCTGCTCTCTGTGAAAAGTGGCATCTTCTTAAAAACTATGTTTTCCCTCTGCCAGCCTAAGGTGTGGCACATCTGCATACTAACATATATGGGTCATGACTAGGCACAGTAATACATTCCTAAAGGCAAACTATTTTGGGTTTTCAAAAGAAAACCACTTACAGTTTTCTATACCATTTACATATAAATAACTCCTTTCACATTGTGGGAACAACTATCTGAAGGAAAAATGAAAAGTTTCTTAAATATGAAAAACTACATCTGATAACTTCTCACTAGGATACTGAAATCACTTTAAACCAAGTCCTGTGAAGAGCTGAAGCCGTGATATGACAAGTATTAGGCATTATTGTCTTTCCTGTCTCCTAGACAATTAACTTTTTCAACTTTTTTGAAGCACAGCTCACTGCTCCTCCTGCTGGAAACAAAGGCAAACCCATCCCCAGGAAGGAACAGGAAGCCAGCATGCAAGACCTCCTTCCTGTCCATCACAGAAAATGAGGACTCAGACTCTGGCAGGTCAGTGACACCTAATCTGCTCTTCAGGACACAGCAGAAGAACACCGGCAGCAAGTGGCCCTGAGCCAGGGCACAGGCACAGGGAGGGACGTGCTCTGCTGGCAGAACAGTCATGGTCAGGCTGCGCTGACAACAGGCAGCCCCATGTTCAGCGGTGGCTCTCCAGGACACGACACGCTCACTGCTGTGTGCTCTGCTCCTTCACACCTTGGTGGGGCTGCGTGTCCACCCCAGATTCAGTCCTCCTGACCTGTCCCTCCTGTCACCAACAGGGAGAGCAATTACTCCTCTGCCTGACCGTTCCTACTGGCACACAAATGACCTCTCATCGCTTTTAAGACGTGCTGAGAGCTTAATAAAGCATGTTCATAAATGCACAGAGTTGTGTCGAGGCACGTGACCAGGCATAACACTTCTACTACCCAAGAAGTTCCCCCATCCCCTGGGCAATTAGTCAGTCCTAGGTGGCCTGCAACCTGTTTGTGTTCCAGATCACCAGGACTGGCCTGCCACTGCGCCTCAGAGTGGAACGAGGCAGAACCTGACAGCCTGTTCTCTACTCTAGCCGCCTCAGCTGGCACCTTCATGATTTGTCCCTGTTTACCTGAAGTGCTTTGTGTGGCTGATCTGTTTGCCAAAGACAGAAGAATTCTGAATTTAGCTCAGAAGGGAAAGAAGGAGGGAAGGAGGGAGGGAGGGAGGGAGGGAGGAAGGGAGGGAAGGAGAGAGGGAGGAAGGGAGGAAGGGAGGGAGGGATAAAAATACAGAGCAGCTGCCAAGTGAGAACACAGTAAGAGCTGCCCAGCTTCCGTATCCTTTGAAGGGACAAGGCCTACATAGTCGAAGATAGGCTAGAAAAGAAGAGAAAGCACCGTAAGTGCTTAAACAAGCGGGGCTGAATGGGGACACTCCTACACTGGACAGGAGAAATCAACTTCCTAGAAGGCAGCTGGGAAACGCATGCCAAGGCTTTTCATCCGCATATACCTTACACCCAGCAAGTCCGCTGCCAAGATGAAATCCTAGGTCAGCAACAGGGGAAATGCGCAAAGTTACAGTTACGCGGCCATGTGCTGCAGCACAAGCGGCATGGCTCACAGGTCTAACTACAAGGGGTGGGTCAAATAAATTGTGAACAGTTCTTCACCTGGAGTGTTGTGCTGGCCTTCCAAAAAAGACAGTCACAGAGCCCTGATCACTCCATGCGCCAATGCCCGCCCCGGGGAGCCTACAGCCCAGCAAGCACAGGGCACACAGCAGACGGCACGGAAGACGCCACTCTAACAGACCTACGCCCCGTACGCATGCTCCCACCTACTGTCATCTGCCTCCACCATGCATTAAGCAGAATGACAGGAATAAAGGTGCTGTTCCCCCTTACCGGGATCTTCTATAATATAATACATTACTTCTACAGTAGCTTTCAAATCTTTTAAGAACAAATAGTCACAGAGGACGGAGGTGAGTTAGAAAACCTGCTGTCCCCCCTGCTCCGGGACAGTGACACGTGTCCTCACCTCATCCTCAGCGTGCTGCTCAGAGGTCAGCTTAAGCACAGACCTGCACTGGTCCACGAAGGAGCTCGCAATCAGCTCGGCGTGGTGCAGAAACACGGAGATTTCATCCTTGGTCAGCTGTTCATCGCTCGCCAACTTGGCAATCATGAGGTCTAACAGGGTCACCCTGGGAAGCAGAGCGCATCCTCGTGAACAGGTAATAATGGGACATGCATGATGCCAGATACATAGATGCAAGCGTCCTTAGGGGATATTCCTATTTTATGTCCCTTACCTGACTAAAATGTCTAGTTAGGAAAAACGTTGTATGAATAAAGCAATCCTTCACTAATTACCTGTTTTTCAAAATACTGAATTCTATATATGACTAAGTTATACAGAAGTAAGAACTGTCTAGTACACTTTTTATATCTACTACTTTTAGGATGGAAATAACCCAAAAGTTGAGAAACACTTAAAAAAATTTAAAAATTAAAAGAAATTAAAAATTTAAAAAAAAAAAAAAAAGAGAGGCACTGCCAGTTGAAGTTGGATGGATACAGCCACAGTACCACCGACAAAGTGAAGTGGGTATCACTCACTACCTAAACCAAGCTCAGCATCTCACATGTGTTACCCATGTGACACTCATAAGACCTCCAGACGTGAGTCCTGCCCTAGCCTCTCTGGCAGATTCCACTCAGTGGGCCTTCTGTTTGTTTGTTTGTTTGCGGTACTGGGGATTGAACTCAGGACCCTGTGCTTGCCAGGCAAGCACTTATTCTACTGAGCTATCTCCCCGGGCCCATCAGAGAGAGGCACTGGCCAAGAGACTGAACTACTTGTTTGGCAGCCTTCCTTTACCTAGGAAAAATCAGCCATACTCACGGCAATCTATGCAGCATAAATCATATGAGACATCTGCTCAAATTCTCATTTATATTCTAGAAAGGATCTGAGTAACTAAAACACTTAGCAAATGAAGAAAAATACGACAAAATTATGCACCTCTTGCCAAAGGAAAACATGTATTGCTTACTGCTTCAAGTAAGAAAGAAAACCCTAATGAATATTTTCTGTACTATTTTTTTTAACTTAATGCAGTAAACAACTCATATTTTCTTCTTTTTTTTTTAATTTCTGCTTTTTTTCTGTATTTTAGGGAAGGGTCTACAGGGTGTTCAGGGTCTCACTACTACAACGGACTTGTAATGATTCTCCTCTTTACAGCCGCCCAAGAGCTGGGGTTACAGGCGCACACCACCCTGCCCAGTCTCACTCTCTCAGTGTGCCCTGGGGGTGGGGCCCACACGGCAGGCCCAGGGATCGAATCCCCAGCCCCTGTGCCTGCTTACAAGCACTTTAATCTGCTGAGCTATTTGGTCAGTTCACAATTCATATTTTTATTTACTACTTTAAATATGATGTACAAAACACATAGGTTTGGCCTTCAGATTTGTGTTGTAGTGAGCAAAAATAATTACACCTAAAGCCAGGACACTGAGGCAGCCAGGACACAACTAGTGGCACCTGATCCACATTTCCGTTCTTCATCATGCCATTTTCATCAAGGGACTGCCATGTCCATCCCCTTTCGGCAGACGAAATGAACTTCTAAAAAGATCAGGTAACTTGTCCCAACACTGAGCAGGCCAACCAGACCCGCCCTTTCCCAGGGCACACGTAGGTGATGATCTGAACACCACCACGCTGCCCACAGGGCAGCTCGGCCAGGATGTGGGCCACTCAGCAGCAGGGCCCTGAACAGGCGCAGGGAGGCTCCCGTTTGTATGAACCCCATGGTATGCACTGATCTGGAGTCCACCATCAGAACTTTCTCACCGAACAATCTGCCCAAACAGGCCCCTGTGCCCCAGAGACCACCAGCAGGTGCTACAGGAATAGTCTTATATTAAGACACGGTCAACCAGTCAGACCTGTGACCCTAGCAGGCTGGGGCACAGCCCGGGCCCTACAGGCACTGAGACTGCCTGGGCCTTCTGCTGCATGCTCAGCTGAGCAGCTGCCATGTGTCTCGAGGGTTTTCCACTGAAGTTCTTCGTTCCAGCCACACCACGTGGGAAGGGCTCTGAAGACCTTCCCAGCAGTCCTGATCCGCTGGACTTTATTCATTCCATGGGGCAGGGGTCCCTGTTCACCACCGCCTTAATCCTTCCAACCCCGCTATCTGCCAAAACTCTATTCCACATAACACACACTCCTGGAGGAGGCAGCAGGATCTCAAGGCCGCCACTTCACCCAGATGCTGCTGGCTTCTGCCAACCCCCCCCCCCCCCCGCGCTCGCCCCGCAGGTCATACTGAACACACAGGGCCCTTCCTTCAACACTGAGAGAAGTGGCTCCGGTGACCCCGTGGCCCCGGGGCCTGAATTCCCTCCCACCTGGCTCAGTGTGCCCAGGAGCCCCCCAACTCCCGCATTTTCCCTCAGCCGCTGCATGGTTCCTAGCTTTTTTCTTGTCCTGTGTCCCTTCTCCTCATGCAGGCTCCACAAGGCCAGGGTTTCCTGTGTGATGTATTCAGTGGGTACTTAGTAAATACTTGGTGAATGAACTAAAGCACTTTTGTTGGCCAAGCAGAGCTCAGACTGGACCTCCCCACTCAGGGCTCACTCCCACTGCTCTCTCCTGAGGATCTGAAACTGGAAGGCTCAGTGTTCCCCCAAACACATCCCAAGCTGCCCCTGCACTTGCTGGAGCCATTGCTTCACTCGGAGAATGCCCCGCCCCTGGCAAGGGCCCAGCAGAGCCACCTGCCTACAGGATGGGTGCTGTGTGCTGCCAGCCTCTGCCTGTCCTTCAACAAAACAGAGCGATGCTGTGACCACAGGAGGAGACTGAAATTACTCCATGAAGCGAGGAAAATAATAAAACTTTGATTAAAAACTACAAGGACGTCTGGAGAGATACCTCAGCGGTCTAAGCACCTGCCTGGCAAGCGCAGGACCGGGGTTCAATCCCTAGTACCACATGCCATGCCAGCCCCAGAACCCCAGGTGTGCTGTGCCAGCCCCGGAACCAGGGTGGTGCAGACCTGTAATCCTAGCACTGGAGAGGCTCAGACAGGAGGATCACTACAAATATGAACTGTGTAGCAAGACCCTGTACCAAATAAGAAAGTAAAGAAAAAAATAAATACTACAGGGACGTAAAAGGTTTTATAGTCTTTCTACTGTGCTAAGGCACTATTATCTTTGGTATTTTAGGCCCCATTTTCTTTTTCTTTTTTTTTTTTTTAATTTTAGGACAGGATCTACAGGGTCTCACGGACTCATAGTGATCTGCCTGTGTTTAGCCTCCCAAGAGCTGGGATTACAGGCACGCGCCACTACGCCCTGTCTCAATTGCCAGCGCAGCACGCCTGCGGGCAGGGCTGACACGGCACACCAGGGAGCGAACCCCAGCCGCTGCTTCTGCCTAAGCAGGCGCTTTAATCCACTGAGCTATCTGGCCTAGGCCCCATTTTCCTTCATCCTAAGTGGTCAGATATATTTTTAAAACTGCTAGCATAATTAAACTGCTTCTATGGTCATATATGTACAAAAGGTGCAAGTCCGCAGCCAGAATGTTCCTGGTTGGTGTTTGCTGAGACAGCAGCTCACGGCTGGAAGTCTGATTGAGACCAGGCAGCTGCTCGAGGCACGACCCAGGCAGTCCGACCAGCACCCCATCCGGTCTCGCAAAGCTGAGGGCCTGGTCATCACGCATGCGTGCAATAGCACGTGGTGACTGTGACACCCTAAACACGAGGGTCACAGAAGCACGCTCACCGGTGGCTAGGAGAGATCATCTCTCCTCTTAAGGGACGCCATTCAGATAAGCCCATGCTGTGTGCTGTTGGGTGTTGCAGCTTTCTACCAGGACGTGAACATCACCTACACTTGCCTTCGGCTGCAGGCAGCACTGCACTGCAGTAAGCAGCCCAGACTGAAGCCAGGTAGCCAGGGGGGATTCCTGGCCTTGTAGCGTGGCAGCAGGGGCAGCCACGCAGCACCCTCAGTGTCCTCAGCGCCCAGGTCCACCGGGCAGGTCCACTGTGAGCACAGGCCTTCCGGGGCGAAATGACAGAGGCACTAACAACTGTAAGGTACTTGGAGCAGGAGTCCTGTACAAACTTCTTAAGAAAGAAAAATACAAATGCTTTTACTGGTAAATGTATTTCTAGTAAACGCAAAGAGGGAGCCATTCTTAAAGTGACTTTAAAAAGCACTTAGAACCAATATTAAGTAAGATCAATTCGATGTTACATTTCTGACTTACCACATCCCTCTCATAAAATTCTGGAAAAAATGGGGGGGGGGGCCCCTTATCCCAGAATACCATGTGAACATCTCAATACTCCCAACAGGGTCACAACTTTATATCTGGTGCCCAAGGACAGCAGAGCTTCCCTGACTCCCGTCCCTTCCTCCTAGAATCCCAGCCTTCTGCTGGCCACAAAACACAATGCAGCACAGGGGCACAGAAATCTCTGTTGTCCCCAAACCCCAGGGGCTATGACTACCTTTCACTCATACAATGACTCCACAACATCACTATAACCTAGACACAAAGTACTACCCAGAAAGGCAGTAATCTTCTCTCGGATAGTAATGCATTGGACAACCTTAGTGTTCTCAGCATTTACCGTAAGAAACTCAACCAATGTGAGTTCAATGAAACCTTAGATAAAAGAGCCAGGAACCATAGCGCAAGCCTACACCCAGCTTCTCAGAAGGTAGGAGTGGGAACCACACGTTCAAGGGCAGCCAGTGCATCTTAGCAAGACCTTGTCTCCAAAAAAATAGGTGGCAGGTACCCTGGGGACATAGCTTAGTGGGAGGGACTCCTTAGTTTTGAACCCAGTATGGTACCAAAAAGAAAGAAAAAGTGAAAGGATGAATCTCCATTTTAATATCCTCAAAGATTTTTTGAACAATAAAAAGGCCAAGGAGATAGCTCAGTAAAATAAGCGCTTGTTTGGCAAGCACAAGGTCCTGAGTTCAATCCCTGGTACCACCAAAAAAAAAAAAAAGCTAGTCTAGGCTACATAGTAAGTTCAAGGCCAACTTGAGGCCAAGGACTGGCCAAATAGCTCAGCAGATTAAAGTACCTGCAAGCAGGCACTGAGGCCGGGGCTTTGATCCCCAGGCCTGCCCCAACCCTGGGGTGTGCTGAGAGGCAACTGAGACTGGGCGTGGTAGTGCACGCCTATAATCCCAGCTCTTGGGAGGCTATAAACAGGTGGATCACTATGAGTCCAATCTAGTAGTGAGACCCTGAACACCCTGTAGACCATTCCCTCAAATAAAAAAAAAAAAAAAAAAAAAAAAAAAAAAAAAAAAAAAGAATAAAAAGGTTTTTTTACATTATCTCCAATATATATAATTATAGGTAATTTACTACTGGCAAACCAGGTATTAACCAGTATCAAAGCTTAGTCAGGGGCAGGCCAGACAGCTCAGCAGACTAAATTGCCTGCTTGGGTAGACAGCTACACCCAGAGTTTGATCCCTGCATGCCGTCCCACCCCCCAGGGCACGCTGAGATGGCAATTGACACTGGGCGTGTGTGCCTATAATCCCAGCGCTTAGGAGGCTGAAAACAGGAGAATCACTATGAGTCCCATCTACATAGTGAGACCCTGTAGACCCTGTCCTAAATAAAAAAAAAAAAAAAATTAAATTAAAAAATAAATAATCTTAAAAAATGCGTAGTCAGTTTCTGATTTTTTAAGAGAAAAAAACAAATTCAAGAGGGTGCTCTCAAATATTCTTACCATATTCAACAGGCTGATCTTGCAAACCCCTCTCTGGAGACCAACCACTCTAGAAGAAAACTACAGAATGGATGCCCTGCTGTCAAATACAGGACGGAGAACTCAAACCTAACGATCTGAAACCAGCATCCATGTGGACGCCATCCATCAGTGGCTCAATGGATAAATAAAATAGGGTGTGGGAAAGTGTGTCACAGAGGACACGAAGCCGAGCTAGAGCTGTGACAAGAGAAGTGAACCCCTTGGACACAGAGATGGTAGAGGTGATAAAACTTCCTAAGCAGGGTGACCTGGGAAGTTCAGGGAGAAGAGCCGAGCGTAGCTCTGAGGATCCCACCACCCAGCAGATGATATTAACCAGGCCATGAGTTAACCCTTTTATTGAGGAGTAAGGCAAGGCATTCACTCACATATGCCTTCATTGAAAAAAGTTTTAATTTTTAAAGCACCTGCTCCATGCCCAGCACTGTGAACACATGAGTGTTGGAGAAAAGGAATGATTAAGTCCCTGCCTGGGTGGCCCTAACCTAAAGGCATGAGCAGGGCCATACCCGGAAGGGACAGTTGTGGAACAGAGTGGCATCATTTTAAAAATATCATTTGGGGGCTGGGGAGATGGCTCGGCAGTCTAAGTGCCTGACTGGCAAGCACAAGGACCCAAATTTGATCCCTGATACTGCATGCTACACTGGCCCCAGAACCAGGTGTGGTGGTGCACGCCTGCAATCCCAGCACTGAAGAAGCTGAGACAGGAAGATCACTACGAGTCTGAACTGAGTAATGAAACTCTGTGTCAAATAAATAAATAAATAAATAAATAAATAAATAAATAAAACTTTAAAAGTATATCATTTGGGCCAGGCATGGTGGTGCACAACTGTAATCCTAGCCTTTAAGAGGCAGAGGCAGGAGGATCACTGTGTTTGAAGCCAGCTTGGGCTGCACAGTGAACACAAGACCAACCTGAACTACACAGTTTTTGAGACCCTGTCTCAAAAAATAAATAAAATTAAAATTAAAAAATAAAAACAAATAAATAATGTTATTTGGCAGGAACATGGAGAATATACATAAACGTGAATATCAAATTAGAATAAAGTTATCCATGCCCTAATATTCAAGTGCTCCTCGCTACGAAGCGACTACTCACACTGGCACTGCACACCACACTGCTGCAGGCCAAAGCACTAACAATTCCCATGCACGCGGCTGAAGGCGGAGTGATGGCTCTGGATTTACAAATCTAGTATTTAAGCTGACTTTAATTTTTAATTTTTAAAATTTTATTTATTTTGTGTGTGTGTGTGTGTGTGTGTGCGCGCGCGCGCGCGCGCGCGGCCATCTCAGCCACCAGGGGGCGGGCTGGCTGGCATGTGGTGCTGGGGGATTGAACCGCGGTCCCTGTGCTTTGTTAAGCTTGTTCTAAGTAGGTGCTTTAGACCACTGAGCCATCTCACCAGCCCTAAGCTGACTTTAAAAGCATGAGCTTTTCCTTTCTGTTGAAAGTTATTAAAGAAGGAAAAAAACCTACTTAAGAAAAACCTACAAATGACTGTACACAGCTTACTTCAGAACCCAAATGCATACTAAGAATTCCAAAACCGCTACAGTTACAATACTTGGGACTAAAATCAAGAGATGGTAAAATACTTAGCTTTTTGATCATTAGATCTGTGATTTCTGGGTAAACTTCATTTCCTACGGCAACATTGCTACTAAGATCATAAAACAACACATGCTGCTGGAGAGGGCACTGCAGATGATTTTACTCAACTCTCTCAGCTAACATCAAAACTGAACCCGGCCATGGCGAGAACACAGAATTACTCGCTCAGCGAGTCACAGAGCTAAGGTCTCGGCACTTCTGACCACAGCCTGGGGATCGTGGGCAAGTAGAAAACCACAAACCTAACAGAGGAGTCCCAGATTACACCAGTGATGTGAATAAACCAGTATCTCTCAAATGTACTCCTGTAATGCACACTTGCATCAACTGCTATATAAAATCAAGGTGGGCTGCAGATGTGGCTCAGGGGTAGAGTTCTTGCTTCGCATGTGCAAGGCCCTGGGTTTGATCCCCAGCCCCACAAATAAATAAATAAGTAATCAATCAATCATTCAAACCAAGGCCCGAGCATAACATTTTGTTCCTAAACTGGTCTGCTGTTGCTGTTGCAGTTGCTGTGCACGCCCACACTGCGTAAAGCTCCCAAGACAAATTCTGCTACCCCGAAGCCACTGCCTACCAGTTTGAAGCCAGCATCAACATGGCAACATGCACTGGGTCTGTGCTAGGCGTGAGACCGCGTGGCTCTTGGGCGGGGCCACAGCATGCTCCCTGTGGGACGCTAAGTACACAAAACCACACGGGCACAGGTTACCTTTCCTGATGGCTCAGTTTGGCATACATGGCTTGCACCAACTCCGAGTTTTTCAGAAAGTGGTCTGTAATAATCAGGAACCTAGAAGAAAAAGGAGTGCAGTGTCCAGTTACTAGAAATAGACACGAAAGGCCTTAGCTACTTTACAGGAATAGCCCCCAGAAGAGCACTTTCTTGAGCAAATGCTTCCACTAAATTTTTTATTTTGCGGTAGTCTTAAATGTTTTAGGAAGTTCACATAATATTTTTGTACTGGCTAAAAGGACAAAGTCCTCTCCTCCAACTGATAATATTACTGAGATAATCCAAATTGACTGCACTGTAAGAAAGGGCCTACTACAACTGTTAGCAAAGTTGAAAAAGAAAAATCTTCACTATAGACAGTAATATGAAATTCACCTATGAATTCAGGAATAGACAAGAAACATATTACCTTGTTTTAGCCAAAAGCTTAATGTTATAAAATCAGGCAGAGAAATAGGTGTGTTCTACTTTTATTTAAAGATAAACCAACAACACAGTAATGAATCCTGGTTTATTTTCCACTCATTTAAAGTTCTCAAGTTACAAAAAAAAAAAAAAAAATCCTCATTGTCAACCAATGTGCTTGTCTGAACTTAAAGAGATCAACTATGAAAGCCCAAGGCAAAGATTATGAAGCATTTTTCTTCAAAGTACCACTGTGACATCTAAAAGAGTGAGTAGCACTATTAATTCTGAATTGTATTTACCAGAGGGCATCTGAGGAAAAGATTTAAGAACTAAGGCATACACTGTTCATTATAACCGAGGTTAGAGCAGCAAGAGCTAAATGCATTCTGTATGCTAAACACACAGCTTCATCACCTGTTGTTAGCCAGTCAGTGTGCTAACCAAATGAAGCACATTAAGCACCATACAAAAGCAAAATCTAGGACTGGGGATGCAGCCTGGTGCTAGAGCACTCGCCTAACATACATAAAGACCTGGGTTCAAGCCTCAGCATGACAAAACAAAACCAAAGCAAGATCAACACACCTATTTTATTTCTTCTACAACCATCAGATCAATATGCTGATGTTAAATATTTCTAACAATAACAGATAATATTCGAAATTTCAATCAGCATTCATGTTAACGTAAGTAGGTCAGCAAGTGGCAATAAAAGGAATTTATGCATTCTAAGCTGGGTTCACAAGCAAAGGTGGGACCCTAAAGCTCATTCCTATTTTTAACTACTTGGAACTCAACATTTTCCCAGAAGAGTATTCATTCAAAGACAAAATATTCCGAACACTGTGCTCAAAGCTAGATCACAAATCTCACTCCAAAAATACTCCGCTAACACTGGAAAGGGCCCATACGTAGACAACCACTGAAGAGCATATAAGCCCACCATGTAGATTCACATCACGGGTTAAAGAAACAGCACAGTGTACGTTCCGGCAGGCTGGGGAGAAGTAGGGCAGGGAGCAAAGAAGCCAGAGAGAAGTTCTGTGAATCCTTGGGGAAATTCTTAAGAGCATTTATGCTGGAAGGAAACAAAAGAATTCTGAAAACAGCATGAAGGAAAGAACAGTGTTCAAAGAACTAGCAATCTAGTATCAGTAGTGTTGTGAAGGTTCAGATCTAAAGTGTTCCCCAAAAGTCTCATTCATTCAGAAGTGGGACTTTGGGAAGGTACCAGAATCACAGGAGTTCTACAGCCATAGTGGACTGATCCATTGATGAGTTCGTTCGGAGCTTAATGTGCTATTAGGAGGTAGGGCCTGCTTGGAAAACATGGGAGGATGTCACCTGGAAGGATGCATTCTTGGCCCCAGCTCCTCTTCTGATTTCTGCCACCATCTGGTGAGTAGTTGCCCTCCACCAGGCCCTTCCACCATGCAGTTTCTGCCTTGGAACAGCTGACCATGGACTGAGCCCATGGAAACCATGAGCCAAGTAACTATCTTCTAAAGTTGCAATGTTACATGTTCTAGGGATAGGAAATGACTACTCAGGGCCTCTAGAGGGACCGAGGCTACTATCCTTAGGCCGGACATGGTTCTGGAAAACAGCTCTCAACTGCCTAGAAACTACTCAGCAAAAGAATCTGCCTACTGCCAAGCTTGAGCCAATGTAGACTGCAGTGATGCCTGTGCCTACTTTCAAGACGCTCACAAATAATACCCTCTTTTTTTTCTTGATCAATTTGTTGTTGTTTTGAAAAAATTGACTTTTGCCTTTGGTTTTTCTATTGTGTTCTACTTCACTGAATTCTGCCCTCATCTTTTATTATTCCTGCTTCCTTACTCTGGATTCACTGTGCTCTTTCTTTTTCTACCTTCTGAAAGTAGAACCTCCCGTCACTGATTCCAGATCTTTTTTGTTTCTACTGTCTGTAGCATCCAAAGCTACAAATTATCCTAAACAGCATTTTTGCTTTATCACACAAATTCCAGAGTGTTGTGCCTTCATTACTACCCTTCATCTTTTGACTTTTTTTCCCAAATCAATTACTTGGAAATCTTATTCTCCAGAGATTTACGAATTGTCTATCTTTTTTTTTTTTTTTTTTAATGTATTCAGTACAGGGTCTACAGGGTCTCTCTACAGATCAGACTCATACTGATCCTCCTATTTTCAGCCTCCCAAGCACTGGGATTATAGGCACACGCCACACGCCCAGTTTCAGTCGCAATCTCAGCACACCCTGGGGGCAGGGCCATCACGGCACTCTGGGGACTAAACCCCAGCCCGTGTCTGCCCATGCAGGCACGTTAAGCCACTGAGCTATCTGGCCAGCCCTAGACAGCTTTGTTAAGGTTTCCTGAACAGCAGCTCTCCATGATCTGAGAACATACTGTAATACCTCAGCTAGTGAACACCAGTACAACAACAATTTAGGCTGCCAATAGATGCAATTAGCAAAATTTTGCTTCTGTTTGTGAACTTCTATCACATAAGAACGCCACCATTCATGGCCATTTTCCCCAGAATCGGGAAGCAAATTAAGTTCATGAACGGAAGCACGCTATATTCTGCTTGATTTCTACCCCGTACAAGCTCACTGAGAACGGTGCAACCCAGCCTTGGATGGGCGCTCACACAGAGGAAGACAAAGTAACAGCAGAAGGCACCGAAGGTGGTGGCCATAGGACGCAATCTCGCCAAGACGGTCACTGCCACACCACGTCTGTCTGCACCCTGCACCTTGGCCTGACAGCAACTGTGAGAATTTCTAACTATCACCTCCACTTCTGGGCAGAACAAAACAATTTACTTTCCTCCCTTAAATAACATAAAAACAAGGAAAATATATGAAACTTTTCCAACAATGGGCAACAGAAAAGGTCAGATTGCTGCAGGAATAAAAGTACTTTGGAGAATTTCTTATTAAACAAAAGTCCTAACAAACTTTTTTTTTTTTTTTTTTTTGCGGAACCAGGTATTGAACTCAGGCCTTGCACTTGCCAGGCAAGCTCTTAATCAACTGAGCCATCTTTCTGGTCCCGTAACAAACATTTGATAAATGTGACCTGATCAACGTGTTTACAAAATGCTTAAGAACTTTCAGGGACTTGAGAACACACTGAGGGCAGGAGAAGCGCTGCACACTGGCACGAAGCAGCGAAAGCTGAAAGAGAAGGCTTCCTGCGGACAGGCCGGGCGGGTGGCAGGAATGGGGCGCACACGACGCGGCACAGACCGCGGCTACGATGGCACCGTTGCTGGAAGTCACCTGCCCATCAACACGCCAAACACCTGTGGTGATCTACACACGGAGAAAAGGCCTGTTCTGGCTACGAGCTTTTGATTTTGGTCTATGATCGCTTGGCCCGCTGCTCTCAGCCTCAATACCTTTGCTAGCCAATGTTTATGCAGGAAGAATTTTACTTAGATCCCAAAGTGCCCCATAGAACATTTCACAAATAAGATGTGCACCATCATCTTTTAAAACTTCTCAAGCTGCATTCCACATTACGTTGAAAGAATGTCACGATTGCACGGAGGTTTTCCAAAGCACTTCCAGCGGCCCGGAAGGATAGCTGGCATACACAGCAACCGCCTACTGAAGACCATACTAATTCTGTGTCAATCAGAAAGAAATGTTCTAGGCGGTACACATGCTGACGTGGTAGCGCATTACCTGCCAACATGTTTTACTAGGTTTGCATTACATTTTTCTTAAACATTTATATTTGGAGGAAAATGCACATTCACATGCAGTTTGAAGAAGTAATCCAGTGCACCCTCTACCCTTTCCCAAAGGGTAACACCTTGCAACACTAGCACATCCCAACCAAATACTGACACTGATACACTCCAATGACCTCACTCACATTACCTGATAGAGCGTGTGTGTGTGTGTGTGTGGCTTGCTCACATGGGTGGCTTTACAACGTCACAGTCACAGGTCAGACACACAGCAGGGGTCCCCTTGTGAGGCCCTTTCACAGCCACACCTCAAATATTCTTCCTCAACTTCCGATACCGGTTCATTTCTCAAGAATGTTATACAAATGGAGCAACGTACCATTTAAGTCTTTGGAATTAGGTGAGGTTTTTTTTCCCTTTTTCCTTCAGCATAATTCCCAGGAGGTATTTTTCCTAAATTACTGTTTATACCAACATTTGTTCCTTTTTGATGCTGAGTAGTATTCCAGTTGTGGTTTTAAGAATTCGAATAGGATTGGGTAATAGTTAAGATTTTATAATTTCTATAAATTCCTTTTTTAAAAAGGAAATAAGCTGAGTCACACTGTCACCCAGAATGTCTGATTTTCAAAAATAGGTTTCTGATGTTAGGCAATGACCCTAGAGATCTAGAAAACCCTGACACAGATCCTCTGGGGAGTACAGACCCCAAAACACTGAGAACCAGAGGAACCTGAAGCCACCGTGGGCCAGGATGCCAAACACTCTGTATCAAGAACGGTCCTATGCTGGGGTTGGCAACCTTCTCCCCCGATAGTATTTTGGGCTTTGCAAACCAAATGGTCTGTGCCACAACTACTCCGCTCCAGCACTGCAGCAGGAAAGCGGCCCCCACAACCACGCTCACCAGCTCAGCTGTGCTCCAGCGCAGCTTTATTTATGGAGACAAGCAGTGGGCCACACTTAGACCACGGTGGTAGTTTGCCAACGCTTGTTCTAGGTGACCTGGATAGACAGACCCTGAGGACAAATTCCAGGGCTTCGGAGGCTGGTCCTACATTCTAACAACAAAGCAATGAACAAGAAAACTAATAAAAGATTGTATTTAGAGGACAGTGTCAGCCGGGACCCAACATGTGACCTTGCTTCCGGGTCCTGGGAAGACAAGGGGTGACAAGAGCTAAGGAAGTGGTTACGAGGTCACTCTGCCAACTGTGTGCCAATCAGAAGGACAGAGGAGAGACAGACCAGAGAGCAGGGGCCCGCAGCGGTCTGCCACGTGGAGCCCCAGGGCACTGTCCCCGCAGAGGAGGTGTGAAGCAGGGGAGCTGGGCGCCTTGGAGACACAGCCGTTGACTTCAAGGGGCAAGAGGAAAAGAGCCGGGAGGCTGCTCTCGCTGAACAGGTCGGGCCTCAGCGAGGGGTAAGAGGCCCCACCACATTCAGAAACAATACGGACAGCCGGAACCACAGCAGGTATTAGGGCAGGGAAGCCACAGCGCAGCGGCAGCCTTGAGAGGCCAATTAGAAGCACACAGTAGGAGGCTGCACATGTAGGCTGGAACCTTGGCAGAACATCAGATCTGAAACGTAAATTGGGAAAGCAGATAGTGGACCTGAAGTTTAAGCTATAGCACAAGATGAGGCCACCCGGGGAATGAGCCCTGATGGAGGACAGTGGTCTGAGGCCAGCTTCAGGCCAGGCCAACTCTGAGTAGGCTCAGAGCCAGTAAAGAAGGCAGAAGGCGTACCTGAGAACAAGCCCAGCAGACAAGGCACGGAGATAGGACACTGTGGCCCCTCAGCCCCTGGACCCGCTACACCCAACCGAATGACCCTGGGAATACTTGGCTGTGGGAGCCAGCAAATGCCCTCCTGCACACACGTGACTGAGATCATCCTGAGACCCAGGGGAGCTGTGGCTACCACCATGCCTCTACTATGGCAGGTGCTATGTTAGGGTCCAGGACCACGCAACGTGAATCTTGCCCACAGGGAGCTCAGTCCCATGGGCAGTTGGTACTTGGCGAATAAAACAGAGCCCAGCAGCAGACCACCTTTCTGAGTAAGCTGACTAATGATTCACCCCACCTTCTCAGGTCTGCGCTGCTGAGGAACTTTCCTAAGTTGAAGACATTGTATCTCTTACGGTCCAGCTTTTGTTTGTATGTGGTAATTAAAATAAAAATGAATTTCCAGAACAATCAACTGTTTTCAATTCAGAAATGTTCAGAATGACAATTTACACTGAAAGAGATCAAGAGTGAAAAGGTTCACACCTCCCCTACAAATGCAAGCGAGGCTGGTGGCAACCCGAGGCCTGAAGCACCCTGCACACTCAGCATGGCGAGGAACATGCCACAAACAGATTTCAGGTACCCAGGAGAGACTACTAACATGTAAACATCAAAACTGGTGAATTTCATAATCTGAAAAGGTCAGTTTATCAAGAGGACATAGCAATTATGCACTTACATGTATTTAACAACAAAGCCTGAAAACAACTAAACCAAAATCGGAAGGAACTGAAAGGAGAAAAAAAGACAATTTACTTCCCTTAATGAACAGAAGTCTACTGCCTTTAAAAAAAGTAAATAAATAAAAACAAAAACGGGAACTAGACAGAGGATGAACAAGGAAAGAGAAGTTTTAAACACTGTAAACCAACTAGCCTTAGAAGGTGTCTACTGTGTCTACCACACGACGCTTCTGAAGGTACACCGATGGTGAGCTGCAAAGCAACCTCACAACTATTGAAAGCATGTGAAATAACAGTGTTCTCCAACCACAATGGACTGAAATTAGAAATCCATAAAAGGAAATGTAGGAAACACACAGATATGCAGAAACTGAACTCCTAAAACACCCAACGGCTTTAAGAAACCATAGGGGAAAAGTGGGATATAATTTGAGATAAGTGAAAATTATCAGACACTAAATTACGGGATGTTAAAGCAGTTTTCATAAGGAAACGTACAGGCGTGACCGCCCACAGCCGAGAGCAGGGAGACAGGAGGGAGCAGGCGCGGCTCCGTGCACGCTCTTCCTCAGGCTCCTGCTCACGGTTGCTCTGCCGCGGCAGGTGGGGGCCGTCCCGGCCTCCTGGGAAGCACAGCCACTCTGCAGTAAGACGTAGCGCGTCCACCGTCAGGGCACCTCACAACTCACGCACCAATCATGCAGGCCCTTCTGGTGTGCGAGACCAGGAGGGCGGGAGCTGGTCCCTTTGCTGCTTGTCTCTGTCCCCTTAAAGAACAAACTCTAAAGCCACAAGTGGTTGCCTACCGCACAGCTTTCCTGGTCACGGGCAGTCTGGCCTCCACCTTGGACTCTGTGCCTGACGCTGGAATACCAGGAGCAAAGAACTTAGAGTTGAAAAAGTATTCAAACAAATAACAGCTGCAAACTCCCCCAAACTGCAGGAAAGACAAAAACTATAGATTCAAGAAGTGGGGGAACTCCAGAAAGAACAAACCCAAAGAAATCCAGGCCAAGACATCACTACTAACTGCTGAGAAGACAAAACAATCTCCAAAGCAACCAGGGAGAAGGGCATTCCGGTAGGGAGCGTGGTCCAGCAGTCCAGGCCCAGAGCGGCCTCTGGGCTCCGAGGAGCCTGGCGCTGCGGCCACCGCACGGCGTTCCCCCCGGCCTCTGCACACCACGAGCGTCCCTCCCCGCCCTTCCCCTCCACATGCCTTTCACTGCCTCATAGCTTTGGAGGCCCAAGCCGAGCTCCACTCCGCCACCTGTACAGATGCCTCAGCATCCACTCAAAACCTGTTTTTACTGGCCACACTTAAGTGTTAAGGCTTAATTCTCATAATTGAATTGTTTACTTAAAATCTCTACAAGGAAGGTTATCAGCTGGGATGACACTAAGCAATCAAATTTCTAGCAAAATACTTACGGCCATTCGGATTCTGGCTGCTTCTGGTGAGCTTCTATGACATTAATTGCAATGTTGAGGTTTTCTTCCAGTTCCTTCATTCTTTCAGGGTTAAGAGACGTGAACAAGATCATTGAGCAGTAGGCAACAATTTTTTTGTCTGGATGATTTAAGCAAGACCTTACAAATAAAGAAAGAAAATTTTTACTCCAACTCAGCGACATAAGATAGGATTATAACAAATAATAGTGCTCTCATTAGCAAATCAGTACTGATTTCTTTCATTACTGATGCTTAAGAATTATTGGGTACTGACTATCTGTAAGGATTACTGACATTCAGACATTCATTGATAGTTTTAAAAAATTATAATGCTTTGAAGCAAGTACTTCACTATAAAAATAGCAAAAATAAAATTAAGTCACAAAAGTTGCTATTGATTTAGGACTCAAAAAGTAAATAGCACTTAAAAATAAAAATGATCACATTTATAAAACATTATGGTCCTTGTTCTTGTCGGAAAAGCCAAGACCAGCCAGGCTCAGGTATACTCAGGGGCAGCGTCTGCCTGCCATGCAGGAAGCCCAGGGTGCAATTCTCCGCACTAAAGTAAGAGCAGAGAAGGTAAAAGACAAGAAAGGAAGGGAAAACTCCTCAGGCAGAAAATGACACCCTAAAGACCAGAAGGGTCATCAGTTGTCACGAGGGACAGCGTGTCTGGAGAATAACGACACAGTAAGCAGTGGGGACAGAACTCGGGGCCAGGCATCTCAGCATAATTCCTAGCTCATCTACCCACCAGCGACGTGACCATTTGACCATTTGACAGCGGCTGATTTATCCACAATCAATATATCATGGCTTTTTTTAAAAAAATGTATTTAGATATATAGTTACATTCTCTTAATGAATAGAGTGATTTGTTCTAATGGTGTTTGTAAATAGGGTATCAAGTCCGCATCTTGTACAGCAATTAACCACTAGGAAGAATGTATGCAATGTGTTAATTATTGAAACTGTCCTACCAATTTGA